CCCCTCCCTCACCCTGCTGGCCATGCTTCTGTTGATGTAGCCCAGGATACAGTTGGCTTTCTGGGCTGTGAGGGCATATTGCTGGCTCGTGGCTCACATAATCTATTTGTTGCTGTAATATTGTATTGTTTTATGCAAGGAGTCCTCTACCCCACCAGACGGCCACATCGAAGTCCGATGCTGCTCAGCAGGGTAATTGATACCCCAGCAACATCAATCCCTGTCACCAGGAGCTGTTGTGTGAGGAAAAATCTCACCAGGCTATTCCTGGAAATGGAATACAAAATATGCCCAAGGAGTTTAAAGTGAATCAGAGGGACGCTAAACATTCAGAGCTTTTTTTTCTGTGTTTACCCAACTCTCAAAACTTCTTCCATGGGGTTTAATGGAGACAACCAGTAGGCACAAAGACTACCTCTGCAAACTCTCCCTGTGGTTGCAGTGGTCACCTGGGCTTTGGCTGCAGATGTGAGACTCCCTTTCTAGCCTTGGAAACATTTTTTGCTTTGGGTGATTTTTAGGCTGGATTGGATCCTCAGCTCATAAAAACCAACGGCCTGATTTCTGTTGTTCTGCAGGACTCCATGGTGCTATGGCAATTTACACCACTTGAAAATGTGGCTGAGGCACGTAAAAAAAAAAAATCCCAGCTGCTTGATGTGGAGCCTGCATAGAGCATTTGCAACAGGAAACCCTGTGTCAAAACAGTTGTGTTCCAGCACGATCCCTTGGAGAGTATTCACAAGGTGAAAAGGAGGCAGGCTGCCAAACCTGACCTTGTTCTCATTCAGCTCCCTGTGAGACATCAATCTGGGTTTCTCCTTCTGAGGTTCTCTTTCCTTAGGAGCAGCTGTTCATTGCTAGGCTTACCCAGAAGCTGCAGAGGTCTTCTAGCTTTTATTTATGATTAGAGAGCAAAGTTTAATCCCCACTTCCTGCTCTATTAATAACAAACTCTAATAACAGCTCTTCTCCACACAAGATAATATTTTGAACAGCAGGACACCTTGCTTATGCATAGGAGTTTTAATCAATAGGTCTCAAAACACCCTACAAAGGAAAGAAATACTTTTTAATTGCATAGGAACCAGTGCATAAGGATGGGACAAGCTGAACAACACTCAGCAGTGTTCTTGGCCCCTTAGGTTGCAGCACATCTTGCATCAGCAGCAAAACTGCCCAGGAGACAGGGAGTGTGGGGTGTGGGGCTGGAGGAACGCACAGCGTCCCATCAAGGAGACCCCAAAGTAAATACTGGGTTTATAAAACAAGTCTTTTGGATCTTTGAGTTCAGTTTGAAGACTGAATTGGATGCTGGAAAGTGATGGGGCTGATGTAGGGAATCTTCAGGTGGCTCATTTTAGAAATAAAATGTTCAAGGCTGTGGGCTTCATTTGGACCTTTTCCTAGATCATAAATGCATTGTTTTAATGTAGAACAGTTCAGAAGACCTAATGCTTGAGCTAAAATCATTGGAGGAGCCTAAAATCTTTATCCTGAAAGCACTACAACCCACATGTGCCCAACATCAATAGGGTGGACACCTCCACCACCTGACTGGTACCCATCAGAAATGCACGCTTACCACTTCTCTGGCTGTATCATTCAGTCAAAATCTAATGTCAGTAGTTCTGTTATTGAAATGTTTCTAAATCCTGCTGACAAACTGGCCTGAGGATTTCCTGCCATGAAAGGAGTTTGTTTTTCTCTTGCAGCTTAGGGGTGAGCGGTGTTGAGCAAGAGGACTTGTCAGATGATTCCCTTCAGACATTTGCTATCGTTTGGTGGGAAGATGGACAATTGAATATTCTCAGAAGCACGCAGACCTCCTGAGTCTCTTTGTGCTTCAGCCATCGTTTGCGTGGGGGGCAGCTCCCATTTTTGTTGTGCAGAAGGATGGTGCTGGGTGTAACCTGTAGGGTTTGCTGCGGCTGTGCGAGGATAGGTGTGGGAGCCAGGAGCTGCAGGGGGGACCGGGCAGGAGGTGGCTGTGACGTATCACAGCAGCTCCAAAACCCATGCAGTGTCCCCACAACACCATCCCACATGTGGTGGTCCCACTCAGACGTAAGAGAAGCAGGAAATGGGACAGGCTGGAGGTAACCCAGGGAGAGCAGGGAGGTCACGACTGCTGTGTTTGGCTTAAGGGGAAGAGGGCAGAAAGGTGATTGCTTAAGTGTTTGTGTAATTGTTTTTCTTTTCTTTCCTTTTCTTTCCTTTTCTTTCCTTTTCTTTTCTTTTCTTTTCTTTTCTTTTCTTTTCTTTTCTTTTCTTTTCTTTTCTTTTCTTTTCTTTTCTTTTCTTTTCTTTTCTTTTCTTTTCTTTTCTTTTCTTTTCTTTTCTTTTCTTTTCTTTTCTTTTCTTTTCTTTTCTTTTCT